TATTCTGAATTCTTTTAAAATTATATTGTCTCTTTTTATGGCTGTCTAGTATGCAACAGACAAGGCAAATTTTTTATTTTTACAGGATATTTTTGTTATAATTTCTATTGTGAAATACTGTGTTTTGCTCAATGATTAAAAATCAGTACTATGTCTTTTGATTAAAAATGATTATTGGGCAATAATTATTGAGGTTCTATACTTTATACACATAAATACTAATGCACTGAAATTTCTTTAATAAACTGGAATAGGGAGCAATGAATACATTTGAAGCTATAGATTTGTAGTCTTTTTTTTTTTTTTTAGGAATTTTACCTATTATATAGTTTTCTGATACTGCCAATTAACTGTATCTGAGTTTATAAAATATTCCTGTCAAATAATATTAACATGAAATTGCTTTGACCTTATCATGTCTTCTACACTGAAACTGTTGTTGTAGGGTGCATTATTATTATATGCCTATTTAACCCTTTTCCTCTCACTAGAAATGAGATTTTTCTGATGTTTCAACAATCCTTTAACTATTTAGAGATAAATTCAGTAATCTATTATGGTACAGTGTGGGTTGGAGGGAGGTCAAGAGAAAACTGTAATTGAAATAAATAAAGAAGATAGGATATCAAGTGCTCCTTAAAAGATCAAAATATGCATACGTAAAAATCTAAAAAGCTTTATATTGGACAATAAGGAAAATAGGCTCATGATTCAAAATAATCTACATAAGAGTCGCACATACTATCATAATTTACATGAGTCTCACATACAGTCATAAGCTTTGCAAATTTTTCAGTCAAAATAGTAGGACATGGCAACTGTACAAGCCTGTTACCTATAAAAATCTTCCAATATAAATTGTCCCCCATTGGCTTATGGAAAATAAAATCTTATGTTCCCAGAAAAGTGCTCTGAAACTAGAGAGGCCTATGTAAATCAACAAAATGTAAATGGTTATTTAGTAAATTATTTCTTGTTTATTAAAATGGAAAAAAGAGGGATACCCAGTAATTCAAGATCCAACAAAAATGTTAAGTACGGAAATAACATGTTACTTAGTGGATTGAGGGTCTGTCCAAAGAAATTTTCTGAGAAGAAAAATTGTGAGTGCAAATTTATCTCCTTTTAAACCTTAAAGCATATTGTTCAAAGTTTTCAGCTCATGTGCATGATACAAATTCCATACATTGTTGTCTCCATGAAAATAAAAAGCACAGTTTATTATAAACTTAAGTAAAAATTAAAATAACTTTTTAAAAAAATTGGTCACAGTTTTGTCATTGGTATATGGAGATTGTTCCAAGGACCCATCCAAAGCTCTTCATCATCTGATTGTAAGTGGTCACCATGGTATTCCAAAGGCTCCTTGATGTTCTTATTGTCAACTTTAGACTCCTGTTCAACTGTGCTTTTCAGCCTGTGCCCCAAAGGCTTCACTGCTGTACTGTTAGACCCAGTAGGATAAGGGGCAAATGTAACCAGAGGTGGCCTTGTGTTCAGTTTCTCAGTAGAAAATTGTTCTTTTGATAATGTGTTCAGAGGAATATTCTCCTCATGTGTCACTGCCAACTTGTCTAGTTTCTTAAAATGCCTTCCCAATCTGACTGGGGAAGTAACTTTTAAGTTGTCAGTAAGGCAGGCACGGCGAGTTCTCACCACAGAACCATTCTGTGCAATGTATATATTGCCATTGATGTTAGTGTGAAGACTGGGATTATGAAGACGGTTTCTCTGACATTCGGGAGCACTGTCTTCTCCAGTTGAGCTGGTTTCATATTCTCGATCAACCACCAACTTGATCATCCTTTTCCTTGCCCACTGTCAAAATAAAAGGCAGTATGTGAATCATTGCAAATGGAGGTAGAAAATAACTAAAGATTACAATGTGTGTAAACCCCAAAACAACACCATTCAAAAAGTTTCCAGGAATAAATAAGTAAAAAGTCCAAAAGAATTAGAGGGATGTAGCACTTTATCAACACACACTGGATTCTTTTCCACCCATTCTTTATTGGTTATAGAGATAACAACTCTTGGGCATACATGTTGCTGAATTTGAAAGTAGAAATTCCAAGAAATGATTTTACTATTTTAGATCAAATTGTTTTAATAAAAAATTATATATTTATAGATATAAAACAATTGTTCTTTCATTATATATATATATATTATTTCTATTTCACTAGAGATTTGATCCATATTTGACAGTTACTATACTATTCTGAAAAAATAAATTGAAAGGGATGAATTATACTACCATAATGAATACATTCTATTCATGTTGTTATTGTTGTGTACTGTCAAGTCAGAACTGACCCATAACTGGCCCTTTGGTGGGGTTTTCTGAGGCAGTTAATCGCATGGGAGGAGATTAGCCATCCTTCTCCCACAGAGAAGCTGGTGGCCTCGAACTGCGTGTTATTGGGATTGCAGCACAGTTTCTTGCCACTAATACTCATATTTCCAAATATTAAAAATATTTTTAAATCACAATACTTGAGCTCATAATTTTCTATTCCTGCACACATGACTGCTTTCAGAAACCCCTATTTAGATATGTGCTAACTTAAAATATCTTTACAAATCTTGTATCAAAACATTTTCACAATAATTTGCTTACTTGTACACAAAAATGAAAAATAATTTTAATAAACTTTCCTTTTGCAAGTGACCGAAACAAAATGAAAAACTTTTATTTTCTTTTGCTAATTCTCCCTAGAAATCTTCAAAAAGAAAAAGCTGAACAAATATGCTATATATACAGTGTTCTATAGTAGATTTCCCAGTGTACCTTTTCTAGCCATTAGTTTTGGCTTTCATCACATGGCTGAACTATATAAGGTGATTGTGGTCCCACCAAGAGGAATAGATAATTTGGTAATCATGTAAATAAGGTAAATATCAATGGTACCTTTTTGATAGTAACATACAAATAAGGTGACTATACTAGTAATAAGGAGCTTGGTTAGATTTGTCAGCTTGCCAAGGAGGCTCTTTCTACATCCAGGCTCTTTTTACATCCAAGAAAGATGATACAAAGTGTAATCCATTATTTTGAGCCAAATATTTTTATGTTAGAAAATGCTAGATGAGATAGAGACATTACAGCAGGAGCAGAGGTAGTGGAGAACCAGAGAATAGTTTGAGAGATAGCATAAATGGAACTGTCACTCTGTGGAGCCAGAATTCAGTGCCTTAGCCTAAGCTTACTAGCAGAGCAAATAATGTGAATGTGGAGAATATGCATAATTGTAGAAATTAAAAGAGCTAAGTAACACTGTCTCAGAGCCTCATGGTACGGCCAAGGCCAAGATTTCTAAAGTTAGAAGGAGACCTATTTGCAACTACACCTAAAGAAGATGTCTTGACTGAAGCAATTCATCCTGAGGGTTTACTGTTTCTTTTTGCAGTGTTAGCTTAAATGTTGGCTTTGCTAGCAATTACATTAGCCTCCTCTGGTCTCCAGGTGCCTTAATTGAAGATACATGGCCTTGTAATTTATCAACAGCTCTGGGACTAGGATAAGAGAAAGAGTGCTTCCCACACTGAACAGCAAGACTTGAGGGAAACTGGAGAAAGACCCTGGTGAGAGTGAGACCCTGGTGGTTAGACACTGGTGATGGTGAGATTGTGGTATTGCTGTGGACAAACTGTTGTAAGATCCAACCAGAGGAACCCTGAGATAAAAGCCACAGTTAAAAGATTTGCTGTTTCTGGATGATGGGAACTGAAACTGGAGCCTGGACAATTTGAGGAATTACACCTTAGAACTGTTGTGCTGAAACTTGGACTAGCTTTGGGTGATATTCTTAGCCTTCCCCACTTTCCTACTTACTTCCTCAATAAACCTCACTCTCGATACCACAGTCTTTGAGTTAGCAATGAAAAAAAGAACCTCTTGCTGCTGATGTGGTTCTAGAGGCACTGGGGCACTTGGATACTGGCTCTTTATGTCCTTTCTCCTCTGGGTTGGTCAAGAGTTATGCTGATCTCACTCCCTTTAGCCCTTTCAGAGACACTTACGGCCCTGTGCCCTCATCTTCCATTTTCTGCTCACTTAGACACTTTCCTAATAAACCCCATAATCATGAATATTGCCATTGCAATTGATAAGCAGACCTAGTAATTGAGTAGCAAGAGCCTTAGAAAGGATGGGTACATGTCTGACCACATAGGAATTGGTTTCGTGCCGCTTATATTCTTTATGATGATTAACTGAAGATTTCACTTTTGTGAAATTAGTTAATGGAGGTCAGATTTTTCTGCCTCCAAGTTGGTTTCACTGTTTTTTACAGACTGTTTTCAAATAATATTCAAATAACATCAGTTTTGAGTTTCTTCTTTTAAAGTCACTCTTTTTTGAATCCTAAGTATATATTACAAAATTACTGTGCTTACTTACCCCAGAAAAAAAAATAGAAATGTCATCATTTGTTTCCTAAATCTAATTTCATTCATTTCCAGAACAGATGTGTTAATAACATATATTTCATTTAACTCAATATCTAAGAGTGTCAAATAAAAAAATCCATGTGAATAAGTTTATATTTTTATAATGAATTTGCCAGATGAAATGTACATATATGCAAAGGTAGATGTTCAGAGATCTTATTCATTGTAACTTATTCTAAGTATTTATTGTACAAAGAAGTGAAGATCTCACCTATATTTATATCATCTCTTCCAATAAACATAAGTGAAACCCATAATCTCACATTGCTTTTCGATAAAAATTCCACTAAAAACATTAAATATTGACCACCAGTTTGTATGTGCTTGACTTAATAATAAAGGATTAACCAATTTTACCCTAATATTCTATTATACAAATGTATTTGGATAGCATATATATTCACTTTTCTGGCATATTTCTGATCAAAAGTCAGATTAAAATAATGAACAATTTCCTCTCTTTTCAAGTGTCATTTCAAAGAACACACAGAAGGCACTGCACACAAGAGCACTCATCACTACAAAACTCCCACCTACTGTGATCTTATTTAAAGTGCTGTGTTGTAACCTTCAGCATTTGCTCCTGGAGTCTTCTTTTGGTTTGCATTCTTGCTTGTGTCATATTGCGGCACCTGAATGCCCCACGGACCTCCAGTCTGACTCTCACTACTACTGCTACCACTGGCTGATTCTGATTCTCCTTCACTTTCCACACCTCCTTCCACAGATGCTGAACCTACACTGCCCTCTTCAGTGACATCTTGAGTTTCAAGATCTGTGGATTCCTCCTGTGGGGCCAGTTCACTTTCCTCTCCTTCTCCTGGGTGTTCTCCTTCTCCCTCTGCCTCAGGTTCTTCTTCAGGTGGCTTCTCTTTTCGACCTTTGACTTCTTGGACTTCTTCAACAACAGGTCTTCTCCTTGCAAGCACAATGTTTTTCCTTGCCTTTTCTCCTTCTGATTCTGTGGATTCAGATTCTTCTGATTCAGGAGTAGAGCTCTCCTCTACCTCAGAGGGTGTTTCTGACTCAGATTCTTCTTCTGTTGTCTCAGATTCACTAAACTCTGATTCAGTTTCAGTGTATTCAGTGTAGTCTGAAGATTCCTCTTCTGACTCTACTGTACTTTCTGTAGCTTCGTCTTGATCCAGAGTTAGTCTCAAATAATCTTTATCTTCTTCCTCAAGACGCCTCTGCCACTCTTCAGCCTCAAGGTCAATGATACCTCTTTTATCTGCCAGTCCTCTTACTTTCTTATATATCATTGGGAATATCCTGGCTCTCTTCCATGTTGTGTATGTAGGTTCAGTAACTGGCGGCTTTTCAACAGTTACAACTACTTCTTCTTCCTCACTAGGTTCTATAACTTCAACTTTTGGTTTCTTAATTTTCTTTGGCTTTTCCTGAAAATTATGAAAATGCAATTAAAGTGTCAGCTTTAGAGTGGTTAAGATATGAGCTTTCTCCACAAAACCTAAGCAGAAATGGTGCAAGTGATCATTTGATGTCAGTTTATATGGTTAGTCTCAGATAACTGTCACAAAATTTCCTACCGTTTTCCCTACCTCATGTAGACACAAAGTGATCAACCTATAAGTAAATTATTTTATTTTGGCTTATATTTTATAGTAACCATTGTCATAAAATAGATTCTAACATATATAGTGGCCCTTTAGGGCAGAGGAGACCTTCCCATTAGCTTTCTGAGGCTACCCATCTTTATGGAAGTAGACTGCCCCCATTTCTTGCCATGGAGTGGCTGGTGATTTCAAACTGCTGAATATTTTGGACAGGAGCTTAAAACCGCTATGTCATCAAGGTTCCATCAGAAAATATGTTTTTCTTGTTTATGTGGCTTAATCCACAGGGAGCTGTACTTCTAACCCAGAGGCTGGACCTCTCAGGTGGTTTGAATCCACTGGCCGCTCTGTAGAAGAAAGATGGTCAGTCTCCTCCTTTGGATTTGTAGCCTTGGAAAACTGTCTGGAGTGTCATCTCTATGTCACTTCTGACTCAAAGGCAATGAGTTGTTGAATTGATTTTAGCTCAAAAGATAAAAAAAATTTACAGCTGCCTATTTCCTCTCATATTTATATCCATTGGTTTATATATTTCCATTAACTAAACTAATAATTTTGAATAATGAATGAAATTATGAGCATTTATATTAATAACTTCTGTAATGCTTATTTTCTTATTTTTTAAAAAAGTTAGAGCTACACTGAGATGAATTTATTTATTTACAGATAAATTTTCTGGGGAAATGTGGTAATAAATCATAAGAAATATATTAATTATAAAAGTCATACAAAGATATTACGGCAATATTTTATTTTTCTCTGAGAGTTGAAAGATTGAGAACATACTTTCTCATGACTTTTATATATGCTAGACAGTAGGAACAAGTAGTTATTAGGTTGTATAAATTTTTACATCTTTGATTATAATGTTAGCTTTAGATTGTGTAACTCTTTACATTTACTCTTTTGAGTATAATCTTTTAAAGAGAAACATTTAGAATTTTAGAAATAAATAGTTCACATTACCTTTTTTCCAGGTGTTAAAAAATTATAGAAGAAAGTAAATTTGCTTGAAATTATATTTCCAATAATAAGAGATAGAGGAAAAAAGAAGAAAAGCTAAGGCCATAGTAATCAAATACATTTTTACTCATTCTGACCTCACAGGACAGAGCAGAACTACCCCACCGAGTTTTCAAAATGGTAAATCTTTACAGTAACAGGATCTCTCTCCCATAGAGTTGCTAGTGGGATCAAAGCGACACCTTTTAATTTAGCAGCAAATAGGTTAACCACTTAACCATCAGGGCTCCTTTTGCTAGAGACAAGATAATATATGACCAGAATTGTTAAATTTACAACGAACAAGAAGAAAGTGAACATTGTTTCTGGAAATAGAAGTATTCTCCTATACAGAGCTTCCTAATGAAATGTTGTTGCTGGTAGCTATCTAGTTGAACATGACTCATAGCGACCCTGTGAACAAAAGGCCTGAAACCTTTCTATAACTATCATCATTCACCAAAGTTCATAGGGTTTCCAGAGGCATGTTGTTTAGGAAGTAGATGCCACTCTGTAATGAGATAGGGGGAGATATAATACTCTTGGATTGGCTTGTTATAATTAGGAATTACAGTACTTACCTCCTCCTCTTCATATTCCTCTTCAGCTTCACCAACCACTTCACCATATTCCTCCTGTCCAGCTGGTGGTAACAAACGACGGCGACTTCCATACTGAGGCATTTCATACCTATAACAGAAACTTACAACTTTAAACATTTTTTAATGTCTACATAGAATCAAGCATGAATGATTTCTGACTTATTTTTCCTTTAATATTTAATCAACAGATACTTATATAGCATCTACTATGTGTCAAACTTCTTTTTGATTAGTTATGAAAACTCTAAAGCAATAACTACTACCTGTTGACCAATGCTTTTTGTCATAATGGTACCCTGGAATAACAATAAAAAGAGTTGGGTTATTTCAGAAGTAAATTTTGGGAGATACTATGATGAAGAAAGAGGCTTAATGTTTCTTAATCACATTTTTTTGTTGTCTATTTTTAATATCTATCAATGTTTATATATAGAAATGTCTTTTTAAACACTTGCAAGCAGATTCAAAGGTATGTTTTCTGCTTCTTATTTGCTATTAGCAAAAACATGAAGCTGACCAGTTAGACAAATATTCAATACCTAAGTAAGAAATGGTGAATTCAGGAATTGAGCAAATATGTTTGACCTTTACATCCTGCTTAAATAATCTTGAACACATCTTACCTTTTTCTAGATTGCCATTGAATATTAATATAAAACTCAATAATAAAATATTATAGTAGTTGAATTATAGTTCAAGTGACATTTTTTGAAGTAAAATGGGTGGTATTACACAGAAGCAAATGTTAGTAATAATTATAATTTATTACCTCTTACTATTCACATGCACACAAAAAAAGTACAATTATAGTACAGGGTAAAAAAAATCTGAAGATGTACCCATGTTCATAACTGTAATAATCTTGTCCATATTCCTGGCCAGGATCAATTCCAGACTCCATGGATAACTCCTATTATTCAAAAGAGAAATTGCACTTGAAAAGGAATTCTTACGACATTTCAGCTCAAAGTCTGATCTCCACTCCTAGAATTTGATGACTCACAAAACACTTCTGCCAAAATAAATGAATTATAAATGTTAGTAATATTTATCAAGCTGTAATTATTTGTAATAAGTAATTTTATTAGAACTGAAGGGGAAAATTAAATGCTCTGTTTTTCTTAATAATTTGTTAGGAGTCTATCTAAATTCGACAGTTAATATTTATTCTGGTTTAATTGAAAATAAAATAAACTTTTTGTCATAAGAAAAATTTTAAATAACATCTATCTTCAGAATTATTGTATTTTCCTGTTAACAGTTTTCTAGCTTTTTCCCACTTATAAACAGCTACCTGTATAAAATCATTTGCTACTATTTAAATTTTAATAGGAATTTAATGTAACATAACCTAAGGATGTTAAACATTTTTAGAACACAATGCTAACACTGGATTTAATTTTTTAAAGGAACTTGTGAAAGCTAAGATCTTTTAATGAGCTTAGTTTTGAACTCTAGACTGAACTGGTTTTCTAAAACTCAATTTTATTAAAAAATTCATCTCTAGAGATAGGCACATGCAATTTGCTCTCAATAACGATTAAATAGAATTTCTTTTGTTTTCCCTTGTTAGTTTCATTTGAGTATGTTAAACAGTTTGGATGAGAAAGGTTATACAAATTAATTCTGCAATGTAATTAAGAGGAGGACTGAGGAAGAATTACAAATATTCATAAGAAACTGGTTGCTTTTTATTTTACAATCATATACTATTCACAAGGTTTAATTTTGTTGATCTAGGTAGTATAACAACTCAGGGAAAACAGGCTGTCCTTTGAAGACCCAGATATATCTAAAGTGGCAAAAAAATTCATAGTCTGAATGAAGGAATTGGATAATGACCTTAAGGTTTGCTGGGTTTGGACAACATAAATATTTAAAAATTGAATTAGCTGTGAAAAATTTTAGTGAGGAAAAGAAAATATTTGCTTTCCCTTGAAAACTAAAAAGATTAAAACTCTGGTCTTAGTTTTACGTATCAATAATCTATTTGATTATACTCCTCTATAAACAAGTTTTCTCCTGGTCATCAAAACATCATAAATTAGACTATTTTACATATAAACTTAGAATTAAAATAATGTAACCATCTTTTCTTTGTTTTACATATACTAAACTCCATCAACTTAGATTACTTTCTTGGTTCTCATAAGCATTTAATTTTTCAGCTCTCTTACCCTGTTAATTTATTATTTGGTGTCTTTTTATTTTATAGATGTTTTATGATTCCATTATAGTAGAAGGGAATATTGACGTTAAAACTGGTTCAGTTTATCCATCAAAATGACTAAATAAAAAAAAAATGACTAAATCATCAATACCATGCATTCAAAATGGCTAAATCATCAATACCATGTGTTAGCAGGGAGTGGAGCTACTAGAACTCTCATATACTTCTTATAAATATGTAAGTCCTGTTGAAAAAAGTCTATAATACTAAAGTAAAACTTTATATATACACACTTTCTCGTACATTAATTCAACTCACAGTTATATACCAATAAAAACGTCATCATTGGGCAGAACAGATCATATTATTCAAAGCAGGCAAAAGCGGCAAGAAGTAAAAGAACTAATGAGAAAAGCTACTATGCAAAAAACAACACAGAAGAGTCTCCCAAATACAATGCTGACTTAAAGTAGTTAGTAAAAAGCTGAATATATTATTCCATTTAAATAACCTTTAAATATATGCAAACTCATAAATTTATTACAAGTAAGATGAATGGTTAGAAGAAGGAAAATAAAAATCTAGAGCAATACAAGAAGGAGCTTCTAAAGCGTTCTTAATGTGTGCATACACTGTACAATTCAAGGAACTGCACAGTATGATTTCTGCATTATTATGTTTGTAGTCAAACCAAGCACTTAAAAAACTATATAATTGTTTCATATTGGTAAATTTAGGATTTGAGGCATCTCAAGTCTAATGAGGGAGCTCTGATGGCATAGTGGTAAGGATTTGTGCTGTCAATGCAAGTGCATGTGATTTACTCTACAGGAGAAAGATGAGCAATCTCCCTCCATGCAATTTGCCACCTCTGAAAACCAGCTGCAGGTTTAGCTCTAAGTTGGTTTCAACTGGGTATTGAACAACAACAAAACCTAATAAGGGCGCTCTGGTGGCTTAGTGGTAAGGAGTTGTGCTGCCAACCCAAAGCAATATGGTTCAACTCTACTAGCTACTCCATAGGAGAAGAATGAGGAATCTCTTCTCCTGTGACTTGTAGCCTCTGAAAAAAAAAATCTACTGGAGGGTTAGCTATGAGTTAATTACATATTAATGAACATCACAACAACAAGCCTAATGAGAGAAAAAAGAATAGCGAACAAAAAGAACTTCAGTTTGAAGGCAAATTTTAATTATTTTTAATAATAAAAAGGAAGTAATATATTAAAGCAAATATTTGTTGAAGCATAATGCAATTTAGCAGATTTCAGCCTTTACAAGTTATAATTGAACTGTTTTTTTTTACCTGGATTATAAATTTTTGCTTTTCTTTTTCTAAATATACAATTTATTTTTTGCTGAATATAATATATATCTGGCACTAGATGGCTTAAAAATTATAATAGAAGACAGACTCAAGTAGAAAGTGAGCCTGAAAACCTCTCTCTGATCTCTTATCAGTGAGCAGAGGGCATGAAATTCTACCCTTTCATGCCTCCAGGCTGGTACTTGTTTCCTGTATCTCTAAGCAGCAGCTTGGAGAGGGCATTAAGTCTTTCCTGTAACCATTGACCAGCAGTGATCCTCCAGGAAACCTCATCCTAAGTGACCTCCACTCTAGGTCCTCGCAACCCTCAACTTCAGTAGTGAGGAGAATGCCTGGAGGCCAAACTGCCAATGATCCAGCCCAGCAGAGGCTCAAGATCTTTATTCATTGATGTGCCACAGAAGAAGCAGACAACTTCAAACTATACCAAAAAAAAAAAGCAAGACATCACCCCAAATTAGTGATGTAGGTATTGAGTCAATGGACCTCCTGGAGGAGGAAAGATTGAAAGAACTACCTGTCATAGAATTTTAAAAAAACCAAAAAACAAAGATCAAGTGTTTTCACCAGATGAAAGAAAGAAATGGAAGATACAAATAAATCTCTGTGTGGTTGTTGTTATGTGCTGAGTCAACTACAACTCATAGCAACCCTATGCACAGTAGCTCTAAACCCTGTTCTATCCTGAGCCAATTTCACTGTCTTTGATATTTATATCCTCATTACTCGAGTTACTGTGTCAATCCATCTCATCTAGGGCTTTCATCTCCTCCACTGTTCCTTGACCCATCCAAGCATGATATGCATCTTTAAAGACTGTTCTATCCTGGCCACATGCCCAAAGTATGTGACAGAGTCTCAGAATTCTTGACTCCAATGATTAGCTTGGTTTCATCCTCTTGAGGACAGACCTGTTAGTTCTCTTGGCAGTCCACAGTATGCTCAATACACTTCTCCAGCACCACAACTCAAAAGCATCAACTCTTCTGTCACTGTTGGCCATTGTCCAGCTCTCTGATACATAGCAAGTAATTGTGGAAACCATGGCCTGTATCAGGTGCATCTTGGTTTCTAGACTGACATCTTTGTTCTTAGGCACTTTGGAGAGGTCCCTGATAGCAGATTTCCCAAATGCAATTCATCTTTTAATTTCATGACTGCAGGTTCTAAAGGGTCTGTGGAACTGAGCAAGCTGAAATTTTAACAATCTCAATCACTTCTCTATCATGATGCTGCCAATTGGCCCAGTGGTGACTCTTTGTCTTCTTGATGTTGAGCTTCAATCCACACTACAAACTGCAATCCCTGAACCTCTATGACAGAGGCTTCAGGCTCTTCTCAGTTTCAGCAAATGAAATTATGTCATGTGCATAATGCAGGTTATTAATGCGTCTTCCTCCAATTCTGATGCCACATTCTTCCTCATAAAGTCCAGCCACTTGAATGATCTGTTCTGCACTAGATTGGAAGGGAATAGAGACAGGACACATTCCTGATATACTCCTTTTCTGATTTTGAACCATGCAATGTTTCCTTACTCTGTTTTGACTATTGCCTCTAGGTCCAAGGATAGGTTTTGCATGAGCACAAT